CTAGTCCAGCGGTTCTCAACCTGTGGGTCGAGCGACCCCTTTGGGGGTCGAACGACCCTTTCACAGGGGTCGCCTAAGTACATCCTGCATATCAGATATTTACATGACGATTCATAACAGTAGCAAAATTACAGTTATGAAGTAGCAACGAAAATAATTTTATGGTTGGGGGTCACCACACCATGAGGAACTGTATTAAAGGGTCGTGGCATTAGGAAGGTTGAGAACCACTGGTAGTCAGTGAAAACTTACTTACGTATCATGGAAAGAAAAACTTCATCTGGCCTGTTTCCCAATTATTAAGGTTCCAAATCACTGAAATAAAAATAAATGAGACTTTGCTGCATTTAGAAAACCAGTATGATGAAAAATTTGTTTACACCAGGAGGTTTTAGGTCATCCTTCAATCACTCATCCAGGGAAGCAAAGTGCGTGTGCGCACGGGTACACACACATACATATGCACGCACACACGCGCAGATGTGACACATGGTAAATGTTGGGCAATTACTGAGCTGGAACAAAGGAAGCCTCAGGTTCCATCTCCTTTTTAACCTTATATTTGTCTATGCACGAATCTAGGAACTCAAATCAAAGGCATCCAAATATTATTATTCATCATGACATACTCAGCTATTTAGTTTTATCTAATTACCTTTTAAATACATTACTTTAGTCAAAGTGGTCCTAAGATGATGAGCAAAAAGAATTATTTTAAAAATATTAGTACATTTGAAGAGAACGTAGTAATTTTGGCTAAATTTCTCCCCCTATGTAAAGAACTTCTAAAAAGCATGCCGTGTTGCCATATGAAGGGACCCTATGGCAGTAGCGCTATGTTCGTAGATTTTGCCGAATCTAAAAATAAACCTGCACGGCTCTGCTGGAATTATTTAGGAAAGAATAATTGAAACCCACTTTAGCAAGTTAATTTAGACTCTCCTAATTTTACTTTTCTAGTTCACAAGGTACCTTTTTCTCATGGTGCTTTCAAATTGAATTTCACATACATCAAACAAATAGCATGATAATTAGAGTTTTCAATATCCAATACACATCATTATTACCTGTCATTATTGTCATTGTCACTATTATAATTGCAATTGTAAAAAGAATGGAAGCTTTTCTACAGGAATTATTCACATGTATTACTTTCTAGGAGTAATTGAATAGTTGACATTGCACTTACATCAATGTAAAATATGTGATGGTTTTTCTCATTTGTTTTGTTCTTAAGAAATGCTCTTATTAGGTTCCTTTATTTGGATCCAGGAAGGTTCATAGTTTTATGTAATGTCCAAATGCATACTTTCTTATAACAAGGCTCAAAAGATAGCCAATATAATTAAAGTAATAATTTTCTAAGAACATAATTATAAGATAACAACTGGGTAATGAAGTCCTCTTAATTAGCTTGTATTTGTACACATAAACTCAATAAGAATCTCAGTGAAAAATATTACTTTTCTTTTTTAACTACTTAATAAGATTTGGCATGTTGAAATAAAGCCCACATTATATTGTCAATATCTAAAGACTGGTTAATAATAATTTACTTTAGAGTTTACACAGGACTTTTCAGTTCACTGTTTTATACAATCCTCATTCAATCCTTTGAGCAGGAAGGCTAGAGTTTATTCATCTACTTAAAGCTAAGAAAACATAGTTTCCAAGAAGCCAAGCAATTTATACGAAGTCACTCTGATGAATAGCAAAATTAGCACTGGAAGCTGGGTCATCTGGGTCTAAATTAGAAGCTATAGTAAAATAAATTTTAAAGAATGAATTTGAATTTTTTAAAAATGTTTTTATTGATTTTTAGAGAGGAAGGGAGAGGGATAGGGAGATAGAAACATTGATGAGAGAGAAACATTGATTGTCCGCCTCCCGCACGCCCCCCACTGGGGATCAAGCCTGCAAGGGGGGCATGTGCCCTAACTGGGAATCGAACTAGTGACCTCTTAGTTCATGGGTCAACGCTCAACCACTGAACCACACTGGCCGGGCATAAATTTGAATTTCAAAAAGACATTGGCCCGGTACAGTGTCTGGCCATTGTTTCTGCCTCTTGGTTTGACTATGGGAACTTACTCACCTCTCTGCAAAATGGAGTTATTGTACCTACCACATAGGGCCATTTTGAGAGTCTACGGAGCAAATCCTGAGAAACACACTCCAATGTGGTTTGTTATTTTATGTCTTCCTTCTTCTGTACTATGCTACTTCTCACATGTTATCCTATTTTTGGTTTCTATGTGATCATCTTCACAAGGTAGAGTTTTAAACTTTAGAGTTAAACAGCATCAAGAGGGGATTGGAAAATTGTGTGACAAGTTTTAGAAACAAAATCCTCCTAGTAAAATGCCATAAGAAATTGAATGAGTGCTGATATAAAAACAACGCCAAAGATGTAGAGTGTGTCTTCCCTCATGAAGAAGTCCACACATAATGCGCTCACAGTCCTGGTCCTTCACACACAACACAACAGAGAGCAGGTGGGACTTCCTTACTTACTTCCTGTAATTCCCCTCACGCTCCTTGGGGAGGTCTGGATGGTTTAGAGATTTATCCTGGTTTGTGTTGAGCTTTCCTTGCTGCTATGCTAGCTAACCCTTTGAATCATGTCATGATTGGTGGGATAGGGGTTACATTTGCCAACTGTTTGGTGGCTTTCATATTGGTAGTCTCAGTCCAGTTCTTGGAGGACAGATAGTAATGACTTGGGCAGAGAAGACAAAGACTCTAGATTCTGTCTTCATCTGCAGAGATGGTCCATTTAAGTCGGTGTTGGAAATCACCAGTGGGATTGGTCCAGGGAAGTTGGCCTGATCAATGAATAAAACGGCCTTACACACACACTTGAGCCATGTAGTTATCTCCCTTTGTCACTCATGAACCACATTTTAAAAGCAGCATATTAATTTAAATATTAAGATAAGGATTAGATTATATTGCTCTGGTGGCACCACCACTTCATTGAGTTCTTTCCTCTGTGTCTAACTGGCAGATATTGGTCCATCTCCCCTCACCTGTGTCTGGCAGCACATACATGTGTGATGTCACGATGGCCACAGAATCGTGACTTGCAGTTGAACAGGTCTGTCTACACGTGGTAACTGACAGCAACCTAAAAAAAATATTTCTTATCATCTTGACTTCTCTCACAGAGTCACTGCTTATTTGAGCTAAAACTATAGTAAAAAAAAAAGTCTTATATTAGTTCTGTAACCAAGCATTTAGGCGATTATATGATACATCAGTTATGTGTGTATCACTTCAAAGTAAATGAGATACTTACTACACTGAGTTCCCTTAACCCCTCTTGACAAACCACCCCAATCATTGAAGCCCTCAGAATATGGAGCTCTTTGCTATTGGATTGTTTTTCCATCTCCCAACTACTGGTCTGTAAGGGCACTAATCCAAAGTACTTTAAATTCAAAGAAGTTTAGGTATTTTTTGTTTGTGGCAAAATTAATATTGCAAGCTGGTCCTATGTTAGGCATTCTTCTATAAGCATGGCCCCTCCTACCCGTGAGTTCCTAATAGAAGTTTCTTCAGACGTATTTTTCCTACTGAGGCATACACGATGCATTCAATGGCACCGGAGTTTCATTAAAGGAATTCTCTTGTTCCCTTCCTTCCCATGGAAACACCATTAACTGTTTTAAGTTAACTCTCCGAATGTTAGGTTCTTAACCAACAAACAGTGCTTCTCCACAAGGGCACGCTTCTCCAAGCGTCCTTGAATCTGAAGGACCTGAAGACGTAACAATAGAATCAGAGCCACCCTGCGGGTTGGGATCCTATTTAAGAGGAACCCTTTTGTATTTATTTTCCTTCCATCCTGGTTTCTATTTCTCTCACCACCACCTTCAGCCTTTCAGGTGGATGAAAAGGTCAATTATATGTAAAGCGCCCCTTAAACCAGCAGGCCCCTTGTAGGGGTCTGGGCCTCCCCTCCCTGCTCCACTCGCAAGTGTGCTCAGCCCATTCCTGCTCCCCAGGATGTGCATCCATCCATCAGGCCGCGTCTGCCGGCCAGGGTGCCTCTTACAGCTTTTACTGCATCTGAGACGTGGCAGGCCTGCTCTCAGGAACTGCCGGGCAGACTGGGAATCGCAGTCACGGTGAATAGCAGCGAATTGCCAGCTCTTGATGGGTGGGTAGTCACTCCTTTCGGTGGTTGCCCCCTGGGGGAGAAGGTAGGAAAACAGAGGGAGGGAATTAGAGTGACTTTGCACAGCTGAGCAGGTTCCTGCCGCTGGAGCAGTGGCAAGCACTGGCAGGGCTCCACTCTGGGGAGGCTCCAAACAACCTCGCAGTCTCATTTCCACCGATTGGTGCTGCTGTGTCGCCAGCAGTGCCCGGGGATGGGGTGGCAGGCGGGGCAGAGAGGGGAGGGGGCGCTGGGAAGGGGTAAAGGCTCAGCTTAGTTACACAAATAAAAAGTCCCCATCCTACTGGCTCACCCACCCCAGTGAGCCCTGTGCTACTAATTGTACCAAACTTGTATTTTAAGTTCCCCGGGTGATTAAAGAGTTGGCTCACAAACTCTCTGCATAACCTTAATTTTTTCAAGGTTCTTTGAGTGGAGAATGGCTTATAATAATGATTTTGACTAATACGATTTTTGACATGCAACTTTAATGCTTAACCTTAGTACAACTCCAGAGCATTTCATGTGTACTCAGCTGTAAAGAGGGATGATTTAAAGGGATAATATAAGAAAAAGGTCGTTCTAGAATGAACTTCTAACAAATTGCATAAAGGGAGCTTATTATTCCGTGAGTATGGGGATATGCCTCTCTCCTGATCATTTTTCTGCTTGGTTCAAAAAAAAAAAAAAATTGTGGAGACACGAATGGGAGAAGAAACAGGAACAAATGAAATAGAAATCTGCCAGCAAGGAACATTCTTCTGATGGTTATGATTTCGTTGCCACTCAAAAGGCTCTGCAATAATGTGCTTCTTCGTCTCCTCTTTTGTTTTGGGTGAAGAATTCGCTCGAACAAGAAAATGCTGCTATTGGTGGGAGGCTTGCCGCCCGGGCCGGACCGCCTGCCCAGCAACCTGGTTCAGTACTACGACGACGAAAAGAAGACGTGGAAAATTCTCACAAGTGAGTGCCCTTCTTTATTTACTTACCCGCCTGTTGGTTTCACATGAGAGCTGTCTGGAGAACTGGAAACCCTGGCTAATCAAATTAGACATGTTATTGATTTGTTACCCTTCGGACGTCTGTGTATAGAGCACTGGGGGTTTGGAGTCAAAGACTAAATGAACACTGCGCAGGTGGCCACGGAGGTAGTCGAGTCGAGGGGGCCTAAGTTAAAACTGGCCTGACATCACCGCGAGCATTTGTGTCTCTGTCTGCGCTGAGGTGGAGCGGGAGGTGACCCCGATCTTCCAAAAGAAAGTCTTTGGTGACGTTTTGTTCATCGGGAAGTGAAAGGTTAGCGAATAGCACTAAGGAAATTTTCTCGCATCAAATTGGTCGTTCAGTTCATTGTCTCAGTCACTGGCATTCCTTTTGCTTTTTAGGCATTTTGCTCATTAGTCTTTAGTTTGGGGCACTGGGTCTTTAGAGAAACACTCCCCTCTGTCGCTCCCCAGTTTCGATGGACAGCTGTGGTCGCAGCCCAAAGCCCATGAAGTTGCGCCTTCAAACTTCCACCCAAGATCCTACCCCTCCCTCCTTAAGGGCGATTGTGTTTTACAGCAAACCTCTTGCCTTGGGCACTGGGATCTGGAACTTATTGTTATATCGGCTACGATTCCCCATCTGACACAGTCATGGAATCAAGCTCATTGCTTCCGAGTGCAGCAGGCTGTGGGCACAGGCCCCTTGCGGGCACAGCGGCTGCACTGGTCAATAAAACCACATTCTAACTGTCAGCACTGCCCAGAGTCGGGAGATAAAATAACGAAGGGGCAGTTTTGATCCATAAATCAAAGCCATACACTTAAAACCAACAAAAGTGAGAGGTAGGCTTTCTTGCTGCATGTATCTTTTAAGCAGCTATATATTCTATCAGTTTTTTAAAAAATCGTTTCCTTTTACTGCAAGTTCTTTAAAATAGTGGAAACAGGACAGCAGTTTGCCCACAAAGCAGAGGAGGATCAAAGACATGTGAGGCGGGGCTTGAAATAATGCATTTCGGAGCCGGCTTCCCCCGTGAGCCTGCAGTGGCCTTGTCCGGGGTCTGCAACAGGAAGGCTCCCCGACACCCAGTCACATGGTTGCAGTCAAGAAGTGGCAGAATAGCAGCAGCAAGATTAAGGGGAAGAAAGAAAGAAAGCTAAGAGATGCCTTAAAATGGTGTTGAATCTCTTTTTGACAAAAACGGTGACTTAAATATGTGTAAATGCATGGCCAAAGTCAAGCTAAAGTAAAACTAAATTCATCTTGTAACACTTGACCAATAGAGAAAGCCTACACCCCAGGAGACAAGAATATAGGAGAAGGAGCGAGGAAGGACAAAGGGTCTGAAAGAGAGCTGCTGGAGAAGCAGGCTGAGGGATGGGGAAGATTGGACCCTGCAGTGAATGACATCTGTTTCCCCAAACGTGCCAGGCCAGGTCCAAGGTGCTATTTGTTTGAAGGCCTTCATTAAAGGCAAAACGATTCAGTAACATGGTATGAACGACACCTCAGAAAAGTCTATGTCCATTTTGAACCATGTTCTGAGATGGGTGATCTTCCAGCTTATTGTCCAAACTGGGATTCTTTAGATCAGGGTGGGGAGTCTTTTCCTGCCAAGGGCCATCTGGATATTTATAACAGCACTCGCGGGCCATACAGAACTATCACCTTACACATTAGCCTGCTGGATTTGGTCAAACATTTAATTAGCTCACCCCTCATACCTTGGTAGGGCCAGACCAAATATAGCCTGCAGGCCAGCCGTTCCCCACCCCGGCTTGGAGCATGAAATGGGGATCTGTTCATTACACTGGGAGAGCAGGTATGGACTGGAACATGTAGTCACCCTACCCAAATGTTTTACATTACCTGACATAACTCTCAACTAGAGAGATGCACTAAGAAAGTATGAACTTGATGCAGTCATGCCTGGGTTCAAACTCATGTCTATGACCTTTCAGTAAGTCATACCCACATCTTGAGTCATGGGTGCCTCATTAGATCATCACAAGTTGAGTGTTTTTTCAATAAAGGGTGAGTTTGTAAATCACCTAGCTCAGTGGTCGGCAAACTGCGGCCCCTTGAGTGTGGCTCTTCCACAAAATACCACGTGCGGGTGCGCACGTTCAGTGCGATTGAAACTTCGTGGCCACACTCAAGGAGCCAAAGAGCCGCATGTGGCTTGCGAGCCGCAGTTTGCCGACCACTGACCTAGCTCATAGCATGAACTCAATGCACTGCAGGTATATTGCTATTATTGTAACAGCACCAGCAATATTAGCATGAGGACCCACAGACCCTTCTGCCTTAGAGGCACAGTCCACTCGAGCTCTCCACAGAGAGAGGAGAAGACCACAGACACACACGGGCCTCGCTGCGCCAGGGCAGGGAGCCTGTTTTCTATCGTTTTCCTGTGTTGCATGTAATAACCTACTAAGGAGTAAAGGTAACTGAGCATCTGTGGCTCCATGCACCACATCTGACATGGAAGGACATAGACATTCATGTACAGGGAAGTTCTTACATGTGAACAGATTCAAAGATCTTGAACTTTTTCCTAGACTCAGGTACAACCATAGCTTCGGAATAAATGTCTACTCTAGTCAGACTCTTTATTGCCCAGTGACTTCTACTTGAAAAGATAGAGTTTATTACCTGCTGGGCTGTGACTGTGGGGCCCCACGCGAGGGTATATTTTTCAGGTTTGTTGGAGAAATATAGACAGTTTATCTGGGTGATTTCTGCTGTGGATTTGAGTTTTTTTTAATTAAGGCATTGGATTTGATTACGTTGACTAAAGAGTGAAAGATTTCCACACTATTTGGACCATCTAGTGATAAATGAAGAAATGTTTCTCATTGGAATAAGAAAATAGCCCAATTCTCCCCAAATCCAAAGACGCACTAGGTTGGCAGAGCTTCCCACTGCCTCACCTTTGACCCGGAACAACTGCTTCGCTAATTGGCAGGGAGGCGAGGGAGCCAGTTCCTGGTTTGGGGTCGGCTGAGTGATTGAATGACCGGCTCCATATAAACTAACAAATACGCTAACAAGCAAAGCCCCAAACCCCGAGGTTAGCTAGAGCCTCGGAATCTTAGGGTCCTCTGCCCACTTGGCCTGAGCAAGCATTTCACAGCCTGTCGCACAGACATGCTCCCTTAGAAGGAGGCGAGCCCAACCCCACTGCGGGAGCTGCGCTGTCCACAGACAGAATAGGATTAAAAGGAAGGCCAGCCATCATTTCCCTTAAGTCTGATCCCATTATGTTGCTTATGTTTTAGAAACACTATGATAATAATAAACAGATAATAATCAATTGAATGGAGTGGAGGTGAATAGAAATGAAAAAAAAATAGGTCTATATAATATAAAGAAAACAAAATTCAGCAGTCAGCTAACCAGTGGTGTGATCCACCCGAACAGCGAGAGGAACGGTTACTCTCACGGAAAAGACTGTTTTGGTAACATGCTGGCACAGACTGCATTTTTGTCCTCCTCTTTGGAAACATCATTTAATAAAACATTATAAAATTAATCTCAAGAATAGTGACAAAGCTCCCCAGTCTCTGTCAGAAAAAAGCATTGAAAAATAACATGTAGCCCTGACCGGTTTGGCTCAGTGGATAGAGCATCAGCCTGTGGACTGAAGGGTCCCTGGTTCGATTCCGGTCAAAGGCATGTACCTTGGTTGCACGCGGGGGGGGGGGGGGGGGGGTGCAGGAGGCAGCTGATCAATGTTTCTATCTCATCGGTGTTTCTAACTCTCTATCCCTCTCCCTTCCTCTCTGTAAAAAATCAGTAAAAATATTTTTTAAAAAAGAAAAATAACATGTACAAGTGAGTGAAAAGTCCTTTTGTAAGTGAAGTGTTCAGTAGTTCAGTAGTAACAATGAAATCGGCATTGTTGTTCTCTTGACTGTTGAGAATAGACGGGAAGTGCAGATGCACTTTCATTCATTTCTATTTTGCGGGACTGCTTTTCCTGCAGTTCTCACTCCTGCACGCAGTCTCCCGTTTCATTCTTAACTTATTAGAAAGCAGTGCAGGAGACATGAATACTAAAATGGCCAATGCAAAAAGCGTGCCTCCTGCACGTTGCAGGCCCTAAATTCTTGGTGCAAATATCAGGCAAAACCTCCCCGGCCCCTGCGTACTTTCTGTCATGTGTTTCTTACGTCTCAAAGTTTCTAGGAAGCCCAAGTGTGGGGGCAGCTTCCCTTCCTCCCCAGGAGAGCGCTGCGGGGCTGTCATTTCTACTTGTTTTTAAGTGTTTCCCAGGATCTGACTTCCTTTGTCCTACATTTCAGATCAGAGACCTTACTTGCTTCTTGCTTTCTCTGAGCAATGACAGGAAAGGGGATTTCAAAATACAGGTTTATCCTTCCATGTGCCAACAATGACTTCCCACTAATAACATCGGAATGAACATTGAGAGAGCTGTTAGAAAGACTGTCAGTTCCCTCTGATAGAGGCAGGGGAAATGCCTTTTTCCCTCTTCCTTTCCTTTGGTTGGTAACTCTGTCTTCTATTGATGTGCAAGGATTTGGGAACTAGTATTTTTAAGTCATAGAAAATAAAGGAGCCCAGCTGGTGTGACTCAGTGGTTGAACATCAACTTATGAATTAAGCGGTCGTGGGTTCGATTCCTGGTCAGGGCACATGCCCGAGCTGCGAGCTCGATCCCCAGTAGGGGGCGCGCAGGAGGCAGCCAATCAATGATGTTTCCCTCACATCGTGGTTTCTATCCCTCTATCTCTCTCCCTTCCTCTCTCCCTAAAAGAAATCAACAAAAACTTTTAAAAAAAAGAAAATAAAGGAAACCATTGTTCAGAAGTTCTCTGGGTTGTCTCCTCTAGCCCATGGAGGACCGTTAACTTGATCACCTCCAGGAAGGGTCCTGGAGCTGGGGGGTCATTAATTGGTTATAGGAGAGTCACAAAGATCAGAGGCTGGCCCCAGCTGGTTTGGCTCAGTGC